AAAAAAAAAAAAAAAACATAAGATATCCAAAATGAAATCGTCCACTTTATAACAAAACGAGATTTATTCATTTTGCCAACTTTATATCATAAATCGATGAATTAATTTATAGAGGTGGAGTATTATAAATTTTCATGCTACAGATATAATCAATATGCAAATATATAAGGAACAGAGTATATAAAGGGCTTCAATTCGAGAAGGTGGTTTTTTTCCTTTTTTTTCAAGAGTCAAATATTTCATCTCATTAGCTACAAAACCCACAACATAATTCCCATTCACATAACAAAGCCAAATGTTATAAAACTTTTGAACCCACAAAAAAAGGTTGAAAAATATCTCTTGAAACAAAACAAATACTCAGACATTTCATAGTAACTCGTCTAACATTTGATGTCCTCACTCATCATCCTCCCCGTCCTCATCATCATTTTTCGCTACAGCATTGGGACCATTCAACCTCTCAATCAGCTTAGCCTTCCTCTCTTCGTATGTCAATTTCTTCATGTTGAATCTCTTGTGCTCTTTAGAAGGCCGCTTTTGAGATTTGTTTTTTGGGGGGTCAGCACGAACGGCTGCATGTACCTTCTTGTACATAGCCTCTATGTTATCTGCTTCAATACCATTTTTGATATATTGGCTAAAAATGGACTGGTACTTACCGAATTCATCTTCCATCAAAGTGTTCATGTAAGTTGCAACATGGCAAATTCCATTAATCCAAAGCTGCCGCTGCTGCCCTTAGAGAATTCTACAAATGTTCGAGGGAACTCGAGAAGGTGATTCCATTGTTCGAAAGTTGGACCCTCAAGCTTTATGGGTATATGGGTATTATCCCCAGGCAAGGGTACATAGTAGAGACAAAAGTAATAATCCATATACAAATTTATGTGCTTTATCTATTCATAACCGACGAAGATATTATTTATCAAGCAACACCCTATCTGTCAAGAAATCAAAAGGTAACTAATGGTTGACCAACCTAATTACAGTGGACGGAAAAGTAAATGGTAAGCCTTTGAGTTTATCACGTTTGAAATTCAGGATTGGCCTGGGAGATCTTGGGATTCCACCCTGCATAAAGTGCATAAAGTACTAAGAAATCTCATAAACAGAGAAGACTCATCAATCACATAAAAATATTAGAAAGATCCACAACACTTACCAAATACTTCAGTATCAGAGGGCAAGCAGTGGCAGGATCAATATTACCAACAATGGCCACAGTAAAAGTTGATGGATCCTTATTGTTAAAATACTCACAAGCTTTGAAGGGTTTAACTTTTCGTATGTCACTAATTTTAATAGGCTGAAGGAAAAATACTCATATCTCTCTTCCTTTTGTTTTGAGCCTTTTTTGCGTTTCTCTTACCATTGGTTCTCTTGAGTTTCATCTCTAGCCTACCCCAACTTGCTTGGGACTAAAATGCTATGTTGTTGTTGTTGAAGGAAAAATACTCATATTACTATCAAAATATAAAAATTAAAAATAAAAAAGTAAATAGCAAAGGATAGATAAATTACCCTAAAGAAATAGGAATTTCCATAGTTGGCCTCCCTCACACATTTAGCAAATGCAGTATAAGGATATCTCTCTTGAGCAAGAATAGATTCCTCCGACATTTGCATAACTTTTTCACGTCTTCTTCTCCAGGTTGTAGATTCGTCACGAAGAGTTGATAGACCAATTGTCGGGAAAGAACATAATATAAAAGATAGAAATTAGTTGGATATGCATGATAATAAGGATTGATAAACTTGAATAGCATTCATGATCAGAGGCGGATATACATGTATTTCTAATCCATGCCAGTTAAAAGGTCTCAAACTGTAATTTACAGAAGAAGCAACTTAAACCTTGACTGCAAATCGAAATGAAAGTTTAAAGTGAACTTGAATGAGAAATTACAGAGGTTTAGAGATACCAAAATAAAAGATTGACTGGGAATATTAAAGTCTCAAAAACTCCATTAATTAAGCTCTGATAACATCGCAGGCTAATCCTCAACTTCCTCAAAACCACCTCAAAGAAAATAAATAAATATTAAAAAAGGGTTTTATAATACCAAGAAAATAGGGATTCATAACACCAAAATCCAGAATTAAGGTGACCTGAATCTGATAGAGTCCATGACGGATTCTCCCTTTTCACCTCGAAACATCCAGCCGCCTTTTTCGCCGAAACTCTTCAGCCAATTTATGCCTAGACTCATCATTATTTACTTCCTGCACGAACGATATCGAAGTTATTTGTTCACCGTACCCACAAGAACCACAGATACACGCACAAAGCACTCTCGGAATGCATAAAAATTAGGGCATATGAAGAGAAAGAACGAATTTTTACCTAGGATACAATGATACATTTGAACATCCCTTCCAGGGAGAAGTAGAAACACAGGAAGAAGACGATGGGAGCCTCGACCTGCCTTCGAGTCCATCAGCTCCATGACCTATTTCTCCTGCTCCTCCACTGCCATAAACCCGGTCGTCCCCGTTGCGCCACCCCCATCTTCTCCACCCTGAAGACCATGTTCATCCTCTACTCCGCATAGATCGGCCACACGATCACCATGAAATATGGAAGAACAAAAAAAAAAAAAAAAAAACTGAAAAATACCAAAATAAGTAACCAGTTTTCACTGAATTGAAGGATGGAGGCAGATTGTAGCAACTAGGATTGAGAAACTAGTCAACCCTAGATGGAGCAAATTCCCGATCTCCCTCACGATTGAAGCCTCTCTGACGGCGAGGCTGCTCGTCCCTTATCCCCACGCCGTAGGATCTGAATTCAATGCCGAGCTTTTTCCAATCAATCTCCTCAGACAAATGAATATGCGTGAGTTGAATTTTTTGATTTGTACAGATTTTACTTTGCAAAACAAAGCAAAATATATTTGACCAAAATATTGGACCAAATTTATGTACCATAATTAAACTTATTCATTTAATACTTTCGTTTGTTATGGTAACCAAAAACGTACCAAAATCTCGAACAAATCACAAATGAATAAACGTGAGCCGACTTTTTTAATTTAAATTTTAAAAAATGACTGCTCTTTTTCAATTTTTTTTAAACTTACTAATAAATGTAAAAATGAATTTTTTTGGCGGGATTTCAGTTGCTATTTCAGGTAAATACTAAACCTTTTTATATGTATATAGATAATTACCCTTTTTCTTATTTGTTATTTATATTAGCTAAATAATTTTTCTTTTCTTTACCTTCTTAGGTGAAGAAAATCTGATCTTCATGAACTTTTTTTGCTTTTTTTTTTATCTGGTTGGCTTGATGAGTCATTGGTTTTTGTTGTAATTGCACATTCCATTTATTCCCTACAAAATTCAAGAATGATATTTTTTTTTTACTTTTTTGTTGCTTTTTTTTTTAGTTTTTTTTTTAGTGCTTTAACCTCTGTTTGATCGCACTTCCTTAAAATTAATGTAAAATACTTAATAATAAACTTAAATGAATCAAATCCTTTTTTTAACAAATTTGCGAGTATAAATAAGGTGTACTTAAAGATACTTTTATTATTATTATTTTGAAAACCGAACATATGACTTATATTTATGTGAAAATTGACTGTTGAAACTAAATAACATGAATATTTTTCATAAAACATTGAGAACATCTTTAAATATAAACATATACGTTCACTTTTTGCAAAATGAAATGTATGTTTTGACTAAAAAAATCAAATTGTAGATATTTCAAATTTTTTTAAAGAAAAGACAATACAAAGACAAAAATAAGATTTTATATCTAATCTACTTCTGAATCAACTAAGAACACGGACAAAAAAAAATATTTTAACGAATATTACAGATCTTGATAGATCCGTACTATAATCGCCCTATTGAACCATTTTCTTATTATTCATTGAAGTATATTAGCAAAATGAAGACGACAACTTAAAAAAATACAAACAAACAAAATATCAAATCGACTTATGAAATTAACTGACAACACGGTTTTACAAAATAAAAAAGTAAAAAATCATAAATTCTTAACAAAGATCACATATCTTGATAGATCTGTAATATAATCGTCTGATTAAACCATTTTCTTATGACTCATTGAAGCAATTTAGCAAAATAGGGACGACAACCTTAGATCAAAATAAAAATTTGCAAATCTTGATAGATTTGTAATGTAATCGGCCGATTTGGACCGTTTTACTATGATCGATTTAGTACAATGGAATTGTAAAATCGCAATGATTTTGATGTTATACCTCTGTTTTATTTGAAACTTTTATTTTTTGAAGAATTTTAGAATTTTCGGAACATCTCGCTAGAAAAAACAAAGAAAATAGCATGATTTAGCAAATATTGTTAAGAAAAATGAAATATTAGATATTTTTTATAGAGAGAAAAAACGTGTGATCCACGATAACAAGAGAGAAATGAACTTGAATCATGGAGTATTCAGATTATTTAAATCGAGGGTTGTGTAACTGGCCTATCTGTGCTTCCAAATGTTTAATGAAGCCTCACTATTCACACTCTGTTGCTCACTATTGGCTATGTACTGAAGAATTTTATCCAGTTTTTCGTCGGAGTTTTGCGGGCTCGGTCCGGCTTCTGGTGCTGGCAACCTTAACATTTGTTCCCTGTGTTGCTGTTGATGGGGGACAAAGTTAGGCTGAGATGGCTGCTGAGATTTATTGTTAGACCAGGAGAATCTTGAGTGGTTTCTCCACCCGGGATTATATGTATTCAAATACGGGTCATTCCCGGGCCAACTCTGATAGCCTTGCACTGCATTCAATTCAGCTCCTTGCCCCCCATAGTTCGGCTCGATAGCCATAGGGCACACCTCAGAACTGTGTCCCTGAACTCCGCATGCTCCACAAGAATTTACTGCCATCGTCTGAATCGACAAGGAATTTTGAGCATTAAGTAATCGCATCTGCTCCGTGAGCTCAACTAACTGTTCGGCCATGGCGTTATTACTCGATCCTACCACATTCACCATCGCCCTCTTTCCTTTGATGCTCTTTTGAGATGAGTCCGTACTCATTGTCTCGAAGATCGCAATCATCTCTTCAGCTGTCTTGGCCCTGTTATCCCCTCCGGCTGCATTGTCCACCATGTATTGCAGGTTCTGGTGGAGAGAGTCGTAGAAGCAATTCGCTAGTAGCCCCAGAGTGAGGTTGTGGTGGGGGCACTGCCTCTGGAGGTCCTTGAAACATTTCCAGGCCTCGTGAAGTGGCTCGTGTGGCAGTTGAGCGAAAGAGACTATTTGGGATCGGATGTCTTGGGTCTTCTGATGGGAATAGTAAAATTCTTTCTTGGCTGCATTATCAGCCGTGTCACTTGCTTCCTCATCAGCGACATTTCTGGTGGTTCGCTCCGTTTCTGCTTCGTGATTTGGTGGAGGATTGGCATTTACCCCGGAGGACTCTCTCGCTTTCAGAAGTTTCACCGTTAGTGACTCAAAAACCTAAACTACCTTGCCAACTAGCTAACTGACTCGTATGAAGAAGAGGAGATGTGAGGTTCCCAAAAAACTTTGAGTAGACTTCGGCCCAAGTTGTTAGAGAATTCGGGGCGAGAGTCATGAACCAAGCTTTGGTCCGTTCCTTCAGCGTCTCCGGGAAACACCGCATCCTCAATTGATCCTCAGTCAGCCCATGCAAAAGAAACGTCTGGAGGACGTTGTAAAACTCTCGGAGAAAGTGGAG